GAGAGTGAGAGAGAGTGAGAGAGAGTGAGAGAGAATTCTACTTCACAAAACATCCTTTTATTTTACTTTTAATTAACATTTTACAAATAAATATATGAGAAATCTTTTGGTGTTTGAGTAAAATACCTAATACACAGCTACTCCCAAGTCCAAAAAATATAACCAACATACATCTGAAAGAACCCTTCACAATGTTAATAAGTAAAATTAGTAATGTTACCTGTATATGTGAAGAAAGTGATTTGACCCAAAATAGCTTAGAACTTGCAATTCTGTCTCCAGAAATTAATACTTTTAAATAAAATGTTCTAGCTAACACAATTTTAAAAAAACCCTGATATTTGCATTAGAGATGTTCATCTGAATGGTCAAAACAGGTGCTGATAAGAGGGATAAAGTTTAACCAAATGCCTGTTACTAAGTTTTCAGATGATCAAGCTTTTTGATTTGTCCGTGAAAAATAAGATGATGAAAGAATACATAGAAGCAATTTCTGCAAGCTTGTAAAACGAGAAATTAATCCAGAAAACACGGGTAACTAACATAGAAACTGTATTTAAGTCAATTACTACCATGCTAAAATAGGGTATCTATACAAACAAGAAACTGACAAATACACTTAAAAGTTTTAAAATCCAGTTGCAGATTGCATCAGATCTACCTATTAATAAGCGAGAATTTGGATGCTGACTCTGCTACATGCAATGTAAATGTCTTATGTAAATCCTTTTGAACGGATTACCCAGTATTTTTAAGGTAAGAAACTATAAAATAACCCGTGCAGCTAAAACACTGCAGAGTGTAGTACTTTCTCCCAAACAAAGAACCAGTGAACAAAAGCTGTTCATTAACTGGAAATTAATGCCAATACCTGAACAAATACTCCTCTAAGAAATGAAAAATAAAATTTAGTTGGATCATTATTGTACATCAGTATGTCAAAATAGTTATAAGCAGGCAACAGTAAGAAAGTATTCAGTACCCTGAATGTTACATGAGCATCACTGAGTAGTGGCCCTTCTATTTCAACAATGTTCATGCTTGTTTCTCCACCAAGCAGCTGTGCACCGGTGTCAATACTTTCAGAGTTCTGGCATGATGCGCTCTCTTCTGGATTTAATGCTTTTGCAAGAGTATCAAATGCCCTGTAAAATCACAAACAAACAAAAAGAAAATTTTATTTTAGAGACTGTTTCAATTTAAGAGGAACCTACAAAAGTCTGAAACCTGTATGTAGAAGCCTGTTTCAAAGAGTGAGATTTGGAAAATAAAAGTCAGTAGCATGCTTTTCATGACATTCCACCAAACTCCGAAACAAAAATTAGCAGCAGATCCTGTTTACATTAGTTGCCAAAAAATTCACAATTTTGACATATTGGTTGTGCTGCTGAATCACAGTTTGCTTTTCAAGATCTCTTTAGTGATGTTCACTGAGAGCACTGGCATGAGTGTTTTGAGGACATGATCACCAGACTGCTGTTACAGTTACTTAGTGCACGTATAAATTTGACAGGCTTTTACTGCTACGACGCACAGAGTAAGATTTTTTTAAAGTAATGAGTTGTAGTTAGATTTTTCAACTTCATTTGAAAAGACTGCTTCAAAATATGTAAGAGAAATCACTTAGTAGCCTCTGCTGTGTAGCAGTGACTCTTGGCTTTCACAAGCACAAATGCTAGAGCACAGATGTCAGGACAAGCAGATTTATTACTCAATATTTTGCTTCTTGCTTTGTTTTTCTGTTTGTAAATACACCTGAGAACCACAACTGACACACATTCAATCAAAAATATACTTGATCACTGCCTACAGACAGATGACATAACCTGGGAACAGCAACACTTCTATACAGTTGCATGAAAAGCTTATGCACCAAGACGTGAAAACTTTACAAAAGCTGATTATCAGCTTGTATGTAGAGCTCATTCTCAATTTATAGACATGTTTATTACCACAGAGTCTAAAATCACTGATTTAATGCCAAAATCTGGGATAGAACCTGGCCACCTTCTCTACCCTCACACTCTCTAGCTATATGAATTCACTAACATGCTAAAAAAGAGCTGTTTGACATAACTACGCACAACCAAATGAAATATCACAGTGGAAGAGTTGCTGACACCCAAGGTTTGGGATGGTAAATGAACTGCTTTTTGGTCCTCACTAGCCTGTGTCTATCCATGACTGACACTTTCTTCCCAACTCATTCTTCAATGCTGCTTTCAAAGAAATTTTCTCCCTCCTATCTCATAAACTGCCAGCAGAAGTCAGTAGCAGCTTTGCTTCCTCATGGCTCAGTAACGTGGGTCCTTTTCTACACAAAGCCCCAACGAGATCAATGTCTGTAAGGTGTCCTGATTATACCTGGGGAAGATCAGACTCAGAGAGGTTTTTCTCTATGAGAACTACCTCTGTGAGTTGATAGGACCAACTGGGGGCTGGTTTGGTTATTGACAGCCTGAGGAACCAATTGGAGAAAGTTAGTTCATTCCGTGAAAACACATTTTGAAGGAGGTAACCCGGAAAAAAGCTCTCTTCTCTTCTGGCAGCAGTGCAGGTAACACCAGCCCGGCCCGGCTGCACTGCAGGCCTGGCAGGGGGGCAGAGCTGGGCTCCCTGGGAGTCTGCAGAGCTGGCATGGCCCAGCAGGGAGGAGGGGTGGCCATGGGCAGGGCCCTATGTCTGGGGAGCTGGCATGGCCCGGCAAGGACATGGGGTGGCCATCCACAGTGAGTGCTGTAGCTGAGACCCAGGAGGCTGAGTGAGGTCCCAGCCGTTCCCCCTCCTACCCCTTTCCAGCAGGGCCTGAGTCTCCTGAAATCCTGGCACAACTCCAGCATTGCAGCCTTGCATTTCCTGTGTGAAATCTTAACTCTTCCAATGCTCAGATAAGACTTGCAGACTTTTCAATTCTCCCCAGAGTGAGACAGTAAAAATAAAAGAGCTAAGTTTCTTTAGATGGAAGGAGAATGAGGAGAGGCTGTGAAGATGGCTGAAAATCCTTTTGTGAAGTTGTAGGGACGAACTGATATCGCACTAAAAATTCCCATAAACTGTGGAGAAAAGACATGGGGGGTTGGAGTGTTCCATTTGATAGATCATTTCACCAAAAGCACCTGTGTTGAGAATCTTTACCCCGAGGAAAGAAGGGGATCTCAGTTTTCTGAGGATGAAGCATGAACAGAGAGAAAGATGAAGAGAACTTTTGCTTTGGAACAGTTCATTGTTAAAAGTAAATACCCCATGAGTTTAACATGGCCCATAAGCACAGCTTTGGGAAAGCTGTGAAGATGGGAGGAGCTTCATGACTTGCAAGGTTTTTCCCAGGCAGATGCAAATCGTGAAAGTGAAGCCATGAGAGAACTGGGTTTTTTTCCCTCCTTGTGCAGAAGTCCCTATAGCAGAACAAGAGGAAGCTTCTCTCTCTGAAGTGAACTGAATAGGATTATTTAAGTGGAGAACTGACTGAAGTGTCTTTGTATGTTGTTGTTATGAAGGAATGGAAGAGGGAGGAGGGAGTGGTCTGAAGATCTTATTCTGAATTCACCGTCTTCTTTTTCTTTGTGCAGTTAATAAATTTCTTTTTATACCCTTTTAAGCTTTAGGCCTCACTTGCTTTTGCTCCTGGTTCTGTCTCAGAACAGAAAATGAGTATATTTAAACTGGCAAAACAAAACTATGACAAAGGTAAAACACTATGGAAAAGAGAATCGAGAACAAAACTTGCCTGGGAGCTATGAAAATCTAGCCCACAAAGTAAGAAAACAAGGTATAATCAACATTAAAGTACATGGCATTGATATCCTTTGCTACAAACAATTTTGGTTCTCTTTTTGTCAGGCTCAGTCATCAAAAGATAATCAAGAGACTGCAGATAAACTGTAAAGGAAGAACATTATGAAGCATTAGAGGACAAGGTATGTAAAATTACAATATAAAAGGAGTGGAGTGCTTGCAGCAAAAGTTATACTCTATGTCAGAAAAAGTGAAATTGTAACTATTGCAAGCAATGAATATAATAAAATACATGAAAAGCATGGATAGAGGAAATGTACTCTCTGAAGTCCCTTGAACTCTTCTTCCTCAGTAAACATCTGTGTCTGTTAGATCATGCTAGCATAGGGCCTGACAGGGAAATCAGTATTTTAAGAGAAAAATTTAGGTTCTCTTGAAATAACTTCCCTTTCACAGCAATGTTTAACTTGTACCTCCCCACTCTACAACTATTAGAAAAGCTACTTGACAAGAGTACAAGTCAGAGTCCTTTCAAGCTCTCTGGCTCAGTGAACCTGATGCCTTTTCATAGACAGACTTTTAAAACTGAGCAGAAACCCTGAAGTTGGTAAAAATAAGCATCTGGAAGTGCCAGCAAATGAAAGATTACTACATCTCTTTGAACAGCCATAGTATTGAATGATGTCTATCAGCATATCTAACAGTACTACTTACATGGTACATTACATTCTAATTCTTTACCTAGGAGGACACAGCAAAGGCCGAAATCAGCATCTATAAAAAGTCAGACTGACTTTCTAAGGAGTACATAAAGAAAGGAGCAGAAAAAACGAAATCTGCTTGCAATTACACAAAGCAGTAGAGACCACAGGGGAAATCAGGTAGTTCAGCCACTACATTCCCATCTTTTTTCCCTTAATAGATTCACTCCACACACTTTCAGAACAGCATGTAAAATGTAGATGGTGTGTGAAAGAGTATTGCTGGGACAGCGGTTAGAAGCTTGCATGAGATGACAGCCAAGGAAGAACATGATTGTGATTGATGGAATAACTGTGGATGTTCTGTATATACATCTTACACATCCACTCATCACAATGGCTCAGTTGAAACCAGTGCAAGACACAAGTTTGTAAGATACTCAGTGAGAATTCTGTAACTTCTGTGTAGAAGGAAAATGCTTTTCAAGCTTTTAAGGTGATTTATAGTTACAGGCACTTAACTTTCACACAGATTAGATCTCTTAAGAACAAGTCTTCCAGCATGATGCAAAGTTCTAAGACAATAATACAAGACCTAACATACCTTAGAATGGCCACCCAAAAGGTAAGAAAATCAGCTGAAACCTTTATACTGAAATTAATTTCAAGTACAAACAACTAAAAGGAATTATTTCTCTAATAGAACTTTTACTTCACTTGGAATAACCTTACAATAACCTTCTACATGAGCTTATACTGACATTACTATTACTTTTAAAGCAGATAAATTTCCTACATTGTGATTATTCAACTAATTGACTGGTCTGAATTGACAGAGACCTTCTTGAAAAGGATAGTATTTTTAAGTGTAACATGCCTTACCTTGTAACATCACTGCTAGCTGGTTCTTGCTTGAGTTCAGGTAATGATGCATCTCCATTACTCAAACTCTCAATCATGGATAGCTCTGTACTGCTTTGTGACACATCTTTGCATTTACTGAGATTTGCTAATGAAGTCACCACATTTGCCAGTGTACTTAAATCTCCTTGACATGCTTCTACCTAAGGGAAAAGAACAGCTTTTATTTCTCAGTTAATTCGCAGCAGTTAACCTGCAAAGAAGAGCCTAACTTTCATATAAATGAAGAATTGAGCATATGCAAAGATATACCTGTAAGAAAACTGCTTTCAGTACATGGGTAATCACAGTACAGCAATTAGACACTGCCCTGCATCTAAAATATGGAATATTTTGACATTTACTTGTAAAAGTAATAGCTATCTATTTCTTTCAGAAAGAATACTACTGATGGTAAGCAAGTGCAGAAAGATTTCACATCTCTACACACTAGTCCATCACCAGGAATGTAAGACTGCTCTAGATTATATTTTTAGCATCTTCCTTCCCCATGTAAATGAGTCAGTAGTAATAGGGTAGGAGAATGTCTGAGAAGAAGGAATGCATGAGAAGTCACCTTCATAAACAAGCAGAAAGAATTCTGCTGTACCCTTTTTGTTGTTTATGTCTTTATTTAACTGCAAAGGAAAAAAGTGATTCAGTACTGGCTAGCAACTCAGAGGCAGTAATTTGTGTCCCACTCTGTCCCAGAAAAAAAAGAAAAAAAAGTACATTATTACAGACACCGAGGCTGCTGCTAACACCAGACAGAGCAAGCAAAGCAAAATGCATGAAAACAGGATAAGGTAATTTAATATCAGGTAGAAAAACACAAATGCTTCCTTACCGTGCATATGTGAGGAAGCTACCACATGGCTTTAGTGGATCAGTAAGTGCAACAAAATGGAAACAAAGGAAAACCAGCTCAGAAATAAAATTTTTGATGAGATAGGTCTTATCAGTTTTGCCAAAAAAAAGTGATTCAGGAGAAAAAAATTCCAACCATATTTACACATGGCACTGTGACAGTGCCATGAGAAGTTCTGTGAACACCTCACTTTATTTGTACAAAAGAGTGAGCCAAGTGTCAAGATTATCCCAACACAAAAATTAAAATAATACAGCCCTTAAGGCTCTCCAAAAATGAGAAGGAAGGGCATTTACCTTGTCGTATTTTTAGCATTTTTACTGTGCTAGGCTAAGAGTATTCTTCTAAAGAGAAGGTATTTGTAACACCGGTGAATGTTTTAAAGGAGTGTTCTAAAAATTAATTTAACCAAATCGAACATCCTTGTCTCCTTACATATACAATTACAGCAATTAGCTCTACTTATGATACCAGTCATCACATACCTTATCCGGAGTCATCAGCACAGTAGGTTCACTTTTTATTGCAGATGGATGAATGTTAACAAACATTCCCGATTCCAGCAAACCCGTTGATCTGACAGAAAACAGCACAAGTTTTAATTTTGATTCCTTTTAAAACGGAATTTTCCTTTTTCAGAAGACAGAGATAGCCACTTCTGAATATAATTTACATACCTTGCCGTTTCATTGTCCGTTACAAAAGTTGGGGTTGCAGCTAATGGACTACGAAGATCTTTCCGAATGTAGATCTTTTCTGTAGAAGCTGCACAGTTTGAAGATTTTTCTCTTGACACTTCAATAGGTTTCCTCTCACACTGTACAGCTACAGAAATAATACCCAACTGTTATATCACCCTGAATTACAGAATAAGAAATACTATTTTTTTACTCAATATTTGATTTTAATAATAATTTTGAAAATAACTAAAATATATATAAAATATATCCCATAACCAACACGCTAACAAGTTGGATAAAAACCAGCACACCAACTTGATGAGTTCTAAGTGAAATGATGTAGTAGTCAAAGTCTAAGATAGAACATATATAACATTTTAAAGTTACAATTAAGGGAGACATCCCCTCATTTTTAATTTGAATCAAAGCAGAAGCTTAAAGCTTCTCATTCTCTCAGTTTCATTATCTCACACTCTCACTTCCTTTGTAAAGGACTCATGGTACATTTTTCCATGGATTGTGGGTCCATGTTGAACAAATGTGACTTCATTCACTTAAAGAAGCTTCTCAAGTTAGGACCTCAGAGAATACAGAGGGAAAGGTACATTCACAAACTTCAGTTCAGACCATTTAAGATCAAACTGTGCAACACCCTGACCCACAGTCACTGACTTCAGAGAAGACGTGGATTTTAAATTTGAATGACTCAGTGAAACAAGGTGGAATGAATCTGGGCTTTAGCCTAAAGATGTGTCACCTTGCTTTGAATATTAAAATGAAACTCACAATATTATCCCCTATGGGGATAATGTGGAAATGTGAAAAATGTGTAACTTAGATAAAATATTAGAAACTTTTCAAGATAGCAGTAGACTGTGATGTAATTCAAATTTTTACACTGAAAAGTATCTTAAAACCCAAATGTTGCAATATTTAGTATTGACAATGCTATTGAAGTCAGCCTGCAACCCACTGCTAGTGCTTTAAAGGGTGGGAGATAGAGGCGAGTATTTCATCTTCCTTTGATACACTGTGCTCAGTAGCAGGGTCTCACTTTGCTGAGAAAAGGCCAAGGCTTCTTCAAGGGACAAATAACCTTTTCTGATGGAGCTACAGTCCAAAACCATGCTAAGTTTTCTTTCCTCTCCCCACCCCATTGAGGAATGAGACTTCTTATCACCAAATAATCGTCTCCCCAGTATTCCCCCATGACCCAGAGATTATTTTCCTGCCTTCTGATGCCTAAGCCCAATGATTTTGTTCTGCTTAAAAAGTCTTCTGTGGAGGGGCCTTTTCTTACTTACTGCCAGCTGAACTAGAGGGTAAAGATCCACTTTCACTGCCCCAGCTTTTCCTCCCTTTCTGAATTAATTTCCTCTGTGTTACTGATTTCTGCTGACAGAAGCAGGGCTGTAAGGAGGAAAATGTCCATAGAAGTTCAAGAGGGTCAGTAAAATAAGTGCAGGATGACAGAGAGCAGAGAACAAGACCAACACTGTATGTACTGCAACAGTGTCACAGTATAAGTCTGAAGAATTTGTGTTTTGTGTGATCTTCTGTGTATTTAGTATTCTGATACTGCTGTGATACTGCAATACCACTACATCTAATGCATGGCAAGTTAAAAAGGAATTTGGAATCTGCAGGAATCAGTAGGAACTGAACTTTAGATCAATAGGGATCTCTGCCTTGTAAGTAACTGTGTCTGCAGAGCTTTGTCAAAAGTGAACAGCAATTGCCAGTAATCTGTTGTGGAAAAACTGAAAGGAAGGTAGAGTTCAAAAGGTTTAGTAGCTTAATGTATACATAAAAATGTTGAACTGCACAAAAAAAAATGCAGACATGTTTGATACTTGTCATGTAGGAGTAACAATTCATTCACTTTCATCACATGGGATGGAGCTTATTAAGCTTTTAAAGCAAACACCTGAAAGCATTTAATATTTCTGATAGACCAAACTTGTACAATTCTTTAAAAGAAAGAGATACAATGATTTAAAAATATGTAACCAAGATAACGATTTGTATCTAGACAAAGCATATTTTTTGCAGCACAAAGTAGCTGCCAGGGGAAGTAGTTTGCTCTTATTCAGACTTACAATCTTGTTTCATCCCAAAGGCAATGCATCTCTGCAGCCTACAGTACTGACAGCGATTCCGGTGGTGTTTGTTAATCACACAGTCTTTTGTTCCTCGGCAGGAATAAACTAAATTCTTCCGTATACTCCTTTTAAAGAATCCTTTGCACCCCTCACAGGTTACTGCTCCATAATGACGTCCTGGTTACAAAATAACAGAAAACATGACATTAATTTTACAGTATAATATTTGTTTTTCAGACTTCACAGTTATTACAGATAAAGTGTATTTGTTTTTCCCTGTGGGTTGCAGATCTTAAAATATATTGGGGCTATAAAACAACATTAAAAAGCAATCCTTTTTCTAGGTCAAAGCACTTAAACAAGATTTTACAAACAGACAAATTCCTTATTAAATTATTTCCTTATCAGTTGATAGTAGTGTTGAAAAAGGCTAAGAAAATAGGTTAGTAAGAACACAGTAAAAAATATTTTAATTTATACATTTCTCTAGTAATTTTCCCTACAGACAAGCCCCATGATTGCTCATTACAAGTTCAGCCGTTGAAATTGTATAGATTAAATCTAATGGAACCATGGCAAGTGCAAACATTTGATTGCATGAAGCAATCACTTCAAAGATTAATTTTCACCTTTCATTTTCCTAACAGGGTAATGGTGTAATGGTAAGTCCATAGTACTGCAGTAAAACATCAACGAAAAATAATCTAGAATAGGTACAACTTTTTTTTTTTGAAGACCAGTTCTGCAAGTTTTCTGTATAATATAAAAATTTCTGAGATATACTACAAAAAGTAAGTTTTAAAATTATTTTTAGAAGTAAATTATTTTGATTTTGCATTAATTATAAACATTACTGAAAAGGATTGATGAAGGCATGCTTGGCAGTTACAACAATTTTAATTTAGGAATCCTTGAAATACCTATGGCACGTTACAAAATAAATCACAAATATGACCTAATTTAGGAGAAAACACTTTTAGATTCTTTCCAGAAGTGTCTAGAAATTGTGACAGGTTTTCCAGATTCCTTTTTCACAACCTTTTTATCACTACTAATTGGGAAATTTCAAAAGCATCATATACATTAGAAGAATAATGTCTGAAACATTTTAGTGGCAGTTGGATTATGGATATTCATTCTGCAAAGTACCAGGGCTGCTTGTTCACCTACTCTTCTGATGTAGCTTCTTGGATGCCAGCTTGGAAGTGTCTGGAAAGCAGTTTTCATGATAGTGCTTGTCACATGGGAGGCTCCCCAAAATCTGCAGCTCCTCAGAGGGACACAGCACTCTCCCCAAAGTCATTACCACTGCCCAATATTCCAAGGCCAGCACAGGAGGAAAACCTCCTTGGATTTCCAGCCCCTCAAAGGAGACTCCAGCCCTCCTCTGGGGAGTCAGACAGTTTTAACAATTCGAACACACTAATCAGATCTTGGCCTTGAGTTTGGCAGAAACTTCCTTGAGATGGGTGAGGTCTGACAAGTATTTAAAGCTCTAGTAACTGTATTTTTTATGCTAAACTTCACCAAGTTTTTGGAAAAAAAAATTAATACATTTTACTTTCTAGCAAGTTTGCTTCCTGCTGAAGAGAGACCTCATAGTGCTCTGCAAGTTCCTCACAAGGGGAAATGGATGAGCAGGCACTGACCTACTCCTTCTGGTGCCAGGACCCAAAGGAATGGCATGAAGCTGGTCAGGTTGATTTTAGGTTAGATGTTAAGGAAAAGGTTCTTTACCCAGAGGGTGGCTGGGCACCGGCACAGCTCCCTAGGGAAATGGTCACAGCACCAAGCCTGACAGAGCTCAAGAAGCAATTGGACATTGCTCTCAGACACATGGTGTGACTCTTGGGGTGTCCTGTGCAGGGAGAGCCAGGAGCTGGAGTTCAGTGATCCTTGTGGGTCCATTTCAACTCAGAATATCCTATGATTCTATGTAAAACAACAATAAATCCTATCCATGGGTACTAGAGTACCATCTAGTGAAATTCTCCACTGCATTTACAGAAATTTATACATGTATATGCATGCAAACTGTTACACAGCTTGAGAAGAATTTTAAACTGCTTTTATAAAATTGCACCACCTTAAAAAAAGGAAGAAAAAAAATAAATACCTGATGCTTTGTCTCCACATACAACACACAGATCAAACACTTTATTTAGACCCTGTTCATTGGGGGAGTTGTCTGTTAAAATCTGAAAAAAAGTGTGAAAATAATTTAATTTTTCTTATCATCTAGAAATAGTAAAATATAGCTCATGCTTGTGGTATTTGTCTAAAAGTATTGTGTTTTCTTGATTACATCTAATAAGTCTTCTGAGACACAAAGTCGCTACCTGCCATGCCACTGTGCTCCTTTTCAGGAGGGAAAAAGTTTTACTTGTAATGCTTTTGAGAAGAATTCAAGATTTCGTTTTTCTAAATCCTACTTCTGCAAAATGGACTGACATTTTGAAAAACTTTTAGCATCTCCATACTTTTGCCTTTTGTTCAATTTTATATTTATATACTAATGGCTCATCCATAGTACAAGAGACAGAAGCACTAAACAGGCGGAACAAAAAAAAATCTCTTGCAAAGGCTATTAGATCTACACAGAGGTTTATTAACTCCTTTTTCTATAATACATATAAATATGGTCCAAAAGAAAATGTACTCTGGACACCACCCTTAACTTCCAACTTGTATATAGCTTGGCTTTCAGTAACAGTTTGACATTATTAAAGTATTCTTGTCTTGTCTCATTCATTTATCCCTGGTATGTGTAAAGCTTTGTTAAGCACATAATTTTAGAATCCCAGTACTACAGGGCAGGCATCAGAACATTTCACTTTATCTTTGAAAACTATCCCATCACAACATAAATAAAGCACAGCAAAAACTCCATTTAAAAACATCACAAGTAACAACCAAACATCATCTTGACATAGAAAAGAAAAACACATTCTTCTCATTAAAAAGAGAATATAGTGTAGAAGCTTGAAGAGTTTTAAATTTCTACTATGCCTTAAAGGGAAGCCAGACTCCTCATTCTTGCTTTGTATATTCAGAACAGGACCTCTGATAAAATGGGAAGTAACTGAAACAGAAGGTACTCTCTCTTCCCCAGAGAAAATTTAGACATTGTGCTTTTTAGAGATTGGAACATAGTACAGATGATATATGTAGGGAAGTTTAACAAGCATACTTCTTTCTAGTTAGCCTTGTTAACAATACTGTCTCTGAGATTCATCTCTCAAGTTTTCTTTAAAAAAAACACCAAGTTTCTAAGAAAAGTAAGATGATGAGTTAAGAGAATATTAACCTTTTGATCCTTCAACATTTCCAGTATTGTCATGTACTTTCATGGTATTATGTAAAATATATAAAAATAAATTCGAAGTCCTCCCATAAATTAAAGCTGCACTGAAATGGGAAGTTCCACATAAAGAAGGACTAAAGAATCGGCTCATGAGGAGAAAAAAAACTTGACTCAGAGAACTTAGCAACTGACCTTGAACATGAAGAATAAAAATTGATTATTAATACAACGATGAGCCACTGAAGTTAAAATAGATGATGGGAGAAAGGGTCTTGCCAAATGAGTCAATGTAAAGATAAGATACAGTAACAGAGAGGTTTTTGGCAGAAGAAATAAATGGGCATTTCAAGGGAAGGCTACAGAGGAAGAAAACAGGTGAAATTGCAGACGGAAAGATCATTTGAAGGAGAAAACACAAAAGATCCCAAAGGGATGCAGGTGAACAATAAACCAACAGAAATACTCTGTATTTCATGAACTTTTAAATGGACAAAGGAAATCTCTACCCATACATATCAGTGGAAAACAGAACAATTTAACTGGAGTGACAGAATATTCTGTTGCTTCTCAAACTGACCTATTTTGCCCAAATGATACAATCAGAACTACAGCTTTCTATTTTTTTGTACAGATTTCCTCTTTTCCTGAATTTTGCCTTTTAAGTCAGTGTGACACACTTCTCATCTCTTAAGTTGTCTTTGAAAATAATTTTTATGTGGACTACTCATATCTCACTTGTTTATATTTTTGTTGAGGCTTACCTAAAATACAAAGTGTATGATAACACTAAGCATGCTTGAATGCCTCTCAATAGGACTGGCTTTTGCTACTGGTCCTCTATTCACAGTAATCAAATTCTTTGGAGCAAGAACTTAGGATGTCCATTTGCAGAGAGCTGTGAGTTTCAAAAACAGAAGTATTATATAATACAGAGATTCTTTCAAGCTTACACAACAAGTGGGTAGTGAATCAGTGGACTGCTTCACAGAAGAGCACAAACTAAGCAGTTTAAGGGTCTGCTGCTGAGAAGAGATTGCTTGAAAGAGGATTTTGTAGTGATTTATAAACCCCCACAAAAATGCTTAATATTATCTTATTGTGCAAGAGACATCTAATTAAACACTTCTGTCAGATGGTCAAATCATCTAACATATTCTCTGCACACCATGCAATACCATAGGATATTATACAGACTAAAGCTTACATAGCCTATATAAATAACAAAAAAAAAGTTGTTTAACTATAATAGCAGCTATCAAATATGATGGTCTTACTGCAGTCTCCAAATCAGGAGGTTCCTCAGTATCATCAGCTAATGGAAGTAAAAGGATATACTCAGAAAGATCATTATTAACTTGGCCATCTTTTAATATTTTTCATTTAGCAGCTGTTTATGGCCATAATGTTTGATATGGGACTAAAAGGACTGCAGAAAACTGAATGTTGTCTGGCCGACCACTGATGCATTGTAACAGCAGCATCAATGTGCATGGGTGAATTACATGCAGTAACTGTACTTTAGCTGGAGTGCAGTAACCTCCTACTGCTGAAGGAGGTCACATCTCCTAAGTCTTCTTGCATGTTTCTGACATTCCTCACATCCTATCCCTGCCAGGCTGAGGATGTGGGACAGAAAGCTTGGAAGTTGGAGGGTGGCAACCAAGGAAGCAGCACACATACCGTGCATGGGAGTAAGGTGCACTGGGAACCAGTTTAGGGAGTTACAATCCTGACTACTTACAGTATCACATTAGTAAACTCAAAATCATTAGTGTTATTTTTCACACCCCCATGGAGTAATGTATTTCCCTACCAAATAGTCTGAGCACTGCTGTGGACTACAATTCACACAGCTGAATGGCAGTTGCAACACTGTACAAAAAGGAAAACGAGCATAAGGAAATGTTAAGCCAGAGGGACAATGGAGGAAAGTGAATGTTTTTCAACAATACATGAAAACAGATGGAGAGTTAACGAGCAGAAATAAAGGACTGTTGGCATGGCAGAATCTGGAAATGACAATAAAAATAACTGTATTCTTTCTAATGTCACGAGCCAACATATAAATTTAAAAGCAAGAAATTTACTAAAAAAAGTTTTTTCATAATTTTTAAGTATCCACAATGAGTCGTAGTGCAAGGAAAATTATACTTTAAAAAAATCAAAAAGGAGAACCCAGACAGACTTATTTGGAAATAAAACATCTTTTCTTATCCCATTTGAATGAAAAATATGAAATAAAGTGGATTATCTACCTGGATGTGTTGTGCAGATATATCAGGGGATGCAAAAAACAGTTGGTTGACACCTGCAGCATCTGGAGTTGCTAGGATAACTTTTCCTGGAGTGGAATCTTGTCTGGCAAGGATCACCTTGCTTGGGGTAGAGCCATCATGATTTGTTAAGATGAACTGCTTGCCTGCTGAGCTCTGATCAAGTGCTGTAACAATCTGAATCTTCTGGCCCGTCTGCTGATCTGTGACAATCTAATAATACATTTATCTCAAATTGTTATGGTGATTTAAGTTCACTTTTTGGACCCAATCCGGGCACTTGAAGAAAACGGGAATTTTGCCTTTCACATTTGAGAAGCAGGATCATCTTCCCCTCCATCACACAAGAGCGAATTAGGCAAAAATTTGGATTTTCACTGCATTTGAAACACATTTCAATCACGGGTGTTTGAAGTCAAAACCTCAGTTCGTACTCAATTTTTACAACTGGTGCATGCTTTTACAACACTACTGAAACCCTTGACAATTCTAACATCTAGAACTCAAGGCATGTCTGTAGCTGAGCCCTAAGACCCATTAGGTTATAAGAAATCTTAAATCTTGAATTCACTGTATTCTACATGAAGTGTTTGCGGCACCTCCAAGGTCTGGTTACTTAAAAAAAAACTTCTTAAAACCACAAATGTCGATGTCCAAGTAAAAATGTAAGCAGCAAACAGCAGGAAAAACAGTTATACTGTTGCACCTGTATATACATTTTAGACTCCATTTCGTGGGGATCCTTTTTTTACATATACATTTCTAAATAAAGTAAGTGAAACAGAATCTCTTTCCCTGCCTTTTCTTCTTTTCCTTTTTTTAAGGAAAAACTGATTTTCATTTTATAATAAAGAACAGATCTACAGGGTGGTTTTTTTTCATTTTATCCCTATTTTCAAGGACAAACACAACAGGATTTTATTAAATAATCCTCCACTTTCTTCCAACTATATCAAAAGATTATAATCTTCAGAGACAATAATCAAGATTCTGTATGTATATATTCTATTATAAAGCTCCCTTTTAGTCACTTCATTTCTCCATCAAAATTCCTACACGGAAAACTGTCTGGTTTATTCTGGAGACTAAGGAAAATTATCCTACAAAGACTGTTTCCTGCAAAGTATTTTGAATTACAGATCAAAAAAATAGCTCCTATTAACTTGTTTTTTAAACTATAGCCAAACATTTACGTTTATATATACATCCACAACATTCATATTACAGATATTAATTTTATTTTTATTACAGATGACATTTATTTCATTGTTTAATACTTACCATAATTAGTTCCACAGTAACTGGGGTGCCAATATTAATTGTATTTCCCAGGTGGAGAACCACGGCACAAAGAAACTGAACGAGGCGTAATTTCACAAGTTTTTAATCAACTTTGCTATTTCACCTTCACAACAGGCTTAATACTTTCTCTAAATGCTCAATATCTGTGTATAGTTTTAAAAAGATAAGCAGTGATGAGTATCCAATTTCAGCAGTTATAAGTGGCAATATTGCCACTTTCAAATATTCAGAAATCCTGAGTTTCATTACACAAAATAAATGTGTTTCCTTGTGTTCTTAAGATTTTAATGGATCAAATTTCAACCTTTTTCCTCTGTAAAATATGATTAAAAGCATATCTAAGAGAAAAATGCAGGTAAAATGATTAAATTCTAAATGCTAAAGAATAAAAATTATCATAGGATTTGGGGTGTAGGGTGAGAAGAGAATGCAAAAGCATGACAATAATTATCAGTATGATAAATTTTCTGTTCAGTTTTTTCATATATCTCCATGTCTGGGACGACAAATGGCTACAGCAGATCCTTATTTCTTCTTTAAATTTCTTTATGTTGGTTCTATATTCTTTAGAAGGCAAACTTCCTTGCCCTTTTAATTTCCTTCATTCCTTAATTTCTTTTTCCTTGTTCCATTTTCCTTCATTTACAATCTTTATTTCTCCTGTGTAATTTTTGGCTATTTTCAAAGTAGCTGATATTCCATTCCCCTTCTTTCCAAACATCTGTTTTATTTGGATTAGGAGAAATCCAATGTATGTTATGCTCAACAGGGTACAGAGATGTACAAAAGCCAAACAGAACATTGTGCTGTTTTTTGAATTTCCCGACCTGCTTTTTGAAAGACACTCTTAGCTAAAATCTGTGTCCCTATCAAATCTTAGAAGTACAACTGTTTGTACCCTAAAAAAGGCATATACTCCACCTATTCAGGTTTATACAAAGTATACTCAAAAACCAGCATGTCCCAAACAGTAAAGACAAAAACTTGAACTACAGCTGCAATTATTTTTGGGATTTATATACTAAGTTATCTTCTTTCCTATTGTAGCCTAGCTGTGTATCTAAAAAAATACATGTACTTGTAGATAAACCTGTAGATAATAAATAGGGTTCCTGCAATTCTAGGAGGATCCCCAGGTAGTTTTCACTACATGATATAGTAGGTATAGTGTTACATTAATATCCTTACAGAGCTATTCAACCTGGACAAGTGATTTCTGCAGCTGACAGAGGCATAAGAGAAAACAGTTTAAACAATTAAGCACGTTCTGTCTGTAGGTAACTCTGATGGCCAAATACCTGCAAAACCTCCACCTACACTGCAGTGGGGACTGAAAAGTAGAGCAGTTCACCATAGTACAACAACTTGCAATACCTAAATGTCAAGGTCAGAGAAAAAAAATAATCAGAGGGAAGAGGAAAACCACTTATCTTCTGACCATGAATCCACCATGGATCAGTGACAGCACATTACCTTTCTTAATAATCTAAACTTAATATTGCTAAAACAATAATATTATAAAAAAGGAATATATCAATTCAGGATTGACTGCATAAAAATACACTAACCTAATGTATTTCATTTAAACACCCTGATGATAATGGAAGATACTATTTTCCTTTATTGCTTTTAAGTCTTGTCTGTTAACAAGTTTTGATTTCCATTTGAACCTCATTTCAATAAATTAAACACATCAGTAACTGTGTGTTCCTGTTTTACAAAAAAGAAAATGTCTAAATACAGACAACTAATACATCTGTTTATAACAGCCAATTTTGTGCAGAAATGCTTGTTGAACAAATGTAAGATTCAGTTTTTCTCCCAGAAGAAACACCAGCATTCCCTAAGAAGAGTGACTAATGAAACATGTTTTAAAGAACCTTTTACTGAGGATTTTCTATTTCAGTATTCCAGATAATTAGGTGCATTTAATAATAATAAAGGAAAAAACATTGATTGAAAATACTCAAAATTATTCGATGTAACATTTATGGTGGACATTTCAGCGAGATACATTTATTCCTACAAACTGCTTTGCTCTTCACAAAAATTCTTCTCTGAGTAAAGTTTTTATTACTAAGTTTGACACTAGTGATATGTCTGTAGATGTCTCTTGCAGGAAGGATGAGTGTTTTGACTGAGTGTTGTTCCACATATAACAAGAGACAACAACAAAGTGCTTACCATTCTTTTTGAAGACAGAATGGTGGTTAATTGATGAGCATAAATTAATTAATAAAAAAGTACAGCTATACACAAAGTGCAGAAATGGAATGGAGGTAGCTAAAAGAATGAAGACCTACGGGATTGGTAAGGCAAATACCACAACTAGAGCACAGATGGGGGGTAATAAATCTAAAAAAACCCATAATGTATGGGAGGTGGTTGTGAAGAGCCTTGGAAGATTGAAAACTTGAACATAATGCACCAAAACAGGAAAAAAAAGGAGGACAATGTTTTAGAGTGAAGCTGGTAGAAGTAAAAGCAGCCAAGATTATACTAGCAGCTGGCTCACTTAAATGTGTGCTTATATATACCTGAGAGTATTTTTTACATTTATTCTGCAGCTGATATTTTTCTCTACAATGAAAATTAAAAATAAAACTGACTTGTACTGACTTCTAAGGCATAAAATATAAAATTTAATTCCCCAAATCTTCCAAGTCTCCATATACACATTTCTATGTTGATTTAAGTACCTACATTGCCAAAAACTTCACTACCCTCACTTCAACTGGAGGTTATTGCTTGGCCAGGCTATGGATTATCATATAACATAAGCTGGGACAACCAAAAAGCAGTATTCTTCTCAGACATTAAGTTTCCCTGCACTTTTTCATGGCTTTAAATATACAGTGCAGTATTTCACTCCCCACTTCAGCTCCAAAATGTAGAAATCCTCCAACTTCAGTTGAACTGCCAAATCGACAAAATGTTCAACTTTCAAGCAATAGTTTCACTTGCAAAAAGTATTTTTCTGTTCAGTGATTCAGGATTTTTGTAATGTTAAAATTCTTACAAGGGGGGAAAAAAAAAAGGAAAAAAAGAGAGGAAAGACTGGAATCATGTTTTATTCCTGTTTATATAGAAAGGGCCTTTGTGATCCAGGGCTGAATATTTACATTAAAGAAAGTAACATGATTAAAACAAAAAAGAACTGCAATTTCTGGCAGAACATGCAGAAAACTGGCAGGAGCAAATAGTTCATCTCTGCTTTTAAAATGAAGCATACCTGTATTCTCTGGGATAAAGAGAGGCCTGAATCTGCAGGAACAATCTGTATTCGTTGTGGTGTCCCATCCATTAGTGTTTGTGTACTGCCTTCCTGGGAATGTGTAACCTAGAAAGAAGAAACAAATGTCATGGACTGACATTACTATTTTAATGGATCCACTACCTTAATGGATTAAACCTTAAGGTTTCATCAACTTTTAACTTCTCTGAACAAGGCCATGAAAAATCTGACAATCTTATTCTATAAAAAATGCAAATGCTTGTAGCCTAATTCAACACCTTAATTTTTCTAATTAGAAAACTCTGATATAAACCCGTTTTGAAATACTTCCCAATACGAAATTTACAAACACTAAGTAAAGCAATTAATTGTTCACAAGTCCAAGTATGTCAACCAAACTGAATATTTACTACTGTTGATGTTCATGAGACACAATACCTATCATCATAGCTGTGATACATTTCAATAAATGTTCTTTAATGGCTCACTTGAAGTGACAGAAGGGGTTTTGTATGGAAACACAGCAATTGGCAGTTTCAATCTGTCTTTCTGTTAAAGAATTCTAGACTGGGGAACTATTAAGAAAGGTAAGGAAAAATAATAAATTGCATGAAGTTTGCAAACAGTGCATCTATCTTGTAGTAAAATCTGTGTGAATGCTCTCAAATACAATTCATGGAAATGTTTTAACAATTATCAATATTTTAAAAATTTTTCACATCCCACAGCCAATGGCATATGGGGAAAGGTATTGTACATGACATTATCCATCAATAAAAATTACAGACTGCTATTTGTAGAGGCTTGATCAGAAAGGGCAGATTTTTCAGTACAAAGAGAAATTGTCTTGACAAAGTTTACAGACACCTTCAAATTGAAATTTTTGTCTTAAATTCCCGGGTTACTCCAAAACCTTTTTGCTATTCACAAAACTGCCTGCAACATCCTGAAAATCTGTATTACCAGTAATTCCCAGTATTTACACTATTATACAAGTACTCCTCTGCCCCTCCCAATTAATATATAGAATATATATGTATGTTGCAGTAAAGGTACTGTTATGTAACAGTTTGTGAGGGTTCTTTGTTCCTCCTGGATCAGCTTCCTGATTTTGCAACCATACCATTATCCAAATGCAGCAGACAAAAGCAGGCCAGAACATGCAGCTGGAGGTCAGTATGAGAGGGGGACAGGGTGGAGGGCAAGACTTCCCCTTATAGCAGAAATAAAAGTTCCCATGAGCCTATGTTGATTTTGCAATTTTGCCCAAAAAGGTGTTACTTTTTGTAGCGGTCTCATAATCTACTTGCTCCTCTCCTCTCAGTGTGGCAAGTAAAACTGGCTGGTTAGTCATTCCCTGACCTGGAACAGGACACCAGTGCAGGCTGAAAAGCAGCCCAGCAAACAAAGGCTATTCTTAGCACAGATCAAAACTTCAATCCAGTCTCCACAATGCTCAGAAGCAGAGGCATCAGAGCAAATGAGTGAGGCTAAGCTGCTCAGGAGACTGCTTAAGCTGCCAACATCACCAAAAGAAATGCTTGTCAAACTACTGCCCAAGCCATTACTGGACACTGCTTTTTAAAAATATTCCATTTTTCTGAGTACAAGTACTTTTAAACAATGCCTCCACTTCTTTGCTTAAGTAAAGGACAATAAACTGTTCATTACCCAGCAGCATTTTCAGTTCAAGAGAGGTACTTTCAAGGACTGATGTTCTGCATCAGCCACTCAAATCCACAGGTACACGTGGTAGCTCAGAAGCGATTAAAGTTTTATTTGCATTTACCTTTGCTTTACAAAATAAGCTACATATTACAGAACTATTATTTACATTTGCTCCCTTAAAAATGTCATGATCCACAAGATGTGTAAGGTAAAACTGCTTTTCAACCCCACCAAATGTCAGCTTGACAGTTTTACTTCTATGCAGAATACATTTTTTTTATTGCAGTTAATACTAATAAGAGTTAACTGCAAACTTTGTTTAAAATTGTATTTTATGTGTGACAGACTGTTTCAACAACTATGCAGCTTTCCTCTGTTACAGTAAACTGACAGGACTGTGAAAATGAACCACCATATACTTACTGTACCCAGCCACAGATTAAAGAAAGAATGCTGCAGGCTTGTTGTTTGCAGGTAGCTTCCCTACATGAATCAAGAAATGTGGTCTTGATGTAGAAATAGGAATTACCTCGCACTGAGCAAAAGATGACTAGCAGATGGCAGAATCTGAGCAATGACAATCACTGCACAATGACCCATATAGACAGGGTGATATTTTGCTTCAATGTATTGCTTTCATGCAAAAAGTCCTAAATTAACAAAAGCACGTTTGTGAACACCATTGTAAAATTGTTGTGGCAATTTTGTGATTTAAAATGCTTCATGAACAACAATTGATATAATAAAAAAATCAAAATCTATGTGCAAAAGACTTCTGACCATTATTTCAATGATACACAGAAGCATTTCCATTCTTCTTAATATTGGAACACCTTTTCTTTGCAGGTTCTAATCACGTAATTTTTTCATGTAAATTCGATTAAAACTACTTCAACATCCAAGAAAATTGTAAATGCTAGCAAAAATACTGCTAAAGTTCTCTAGATCTTTAACTATGATTTTTTTAGTGCTTACAGAGATTAGGAATGCCACCAAGAAATTACAGCCTGTAGGTAGGCAGGAATGCAAATTATTGCATTGAGGTCCCTGTGAAACTGCTTTCCTTGCCGATTCCAGCTTTCAGGCAGCACATTCATGCATGGCATATAGCACTGACAATAATTTTGGCTTAAGGAGTTCCAGCTTGCACTGCCCTTAGGGATGATTTTCAGTCCTTCCAACCATGTGTCTGGTTGGGCTGCACCTTGTACGAAATAAGGGCACTGATCACAACCAACAGGGAGATTACTTTTTCTCCACTGTGCTCTAGTTAATTTTTTTTCCTAGTTTTGTCCATTGGATGCTGACACACTGAGCTTACATGAGCAAGACTAACACAGAGTGAGAATTAAGTGGCTCAGTGAGGACTGGGGAATGGTTAAGCTGCCAAATACGATGTGACCGTCTCAGACACAGTAAAACCCCGCAGTAAAAGGACAAATCCTAACCTACACTGCTGACAAAACAGCCATGAAAACTGCAGAGCTGTGATTTCACCATGAACAGGAACAGCTACAGCTCTCTGCAGCACTGCACCTTCATTCTGTTTTCTCCCTGCCTTCCTTTGGCTACCAGCCTTATTCTTTGTGCTGGCTCTGGTAGTCATTGGAGCCTTCTCAGACCCTACTCTGCTAACCCAGCAGAAATCCTTCCACTTGTTTCAGCTGGGTTATTAGCTTGCTGGTGATGGGAAAATTAATAAGGAAAGAAACAGGAAAAGGACCCTCTCTCTCCCATGGTACACTGAGATACTAAGCTCAGTGTTTCCTGGAATCACATTATGAAATTGAGAAGCAACCCCACAGAGGTTAAACACCATCATCACATCATCCTCTGAGTGGAATGTACAGTTCAGCTAGCTTTGACTAGCCTACTGTCAGAAATAAACAAATTTAAACAGGAAATGCAGCCCTATTTAGACCTCAACAAAGAATTATAGTCCCAAGGCAAAACTGCACTAAACATGCATTCTCACCGAATAAAGAGGACAAGTAATAAAAAAGAAAGCATCATACATCCCATAAACCACTTATACCCTTTTGAGATAGCCTTAGCAACACTCGGATGCTACAAAAATAAAAGCTGTGAGAATTTATTCATAGTAGAATTAACCATCCCATCCCCCACTCCAACTTCTCCATCTGAAATCAAGGCTGAGAGGAAATAAAATTACTTGAGAAATAAGTCTACGTCTAGACAAGAATCCAAGAGTGGATATTTCAAGCTAAAGAGCAACATTTATTTAAGACAAATTACCATCTCTATCTAATTTAAAGTGGTGCTAATTTTAAATAGTTGATGCTATGCTGAAACTTTCTAAATAACTATGTATACTCATATCCACACTCTCAAACTATCTGTGCATCTCTGGCAGCAGTACACAGATTCTGCACACAGGTCACAAAGAACCAAAACTGGAAACGTGTAGAAAAAGTAGCTCAATCTTTCCTTTAACAAGAAAAAGCACATATATCTGAAAGTGAAGAACATGGCAAAACTTTACTAGTGAAAATAAAAACGACAAATGAAGTAATTGCATAGTTGTAAAGTAAAAGCTGTGTCCTGACTTTTTTAACTAAAAGTGAGTAAACGACACAATTACACAACCAGATGGCTCTCTGAAAACCACTACAGACTCAGTAAGCTAAAAAGCAAAGACTTACTGGAAACACTGCTAGACTGGTCTTAATTTCTGTGGGACGAACTTTGGCAAAAAAAGTTTTGTAGCATGACTTTAAAATGGACACAGTGGGTTCTTCTGCCTTCTGAGAGAAGTGTTCAGAAGCCTTGTCTCTATCAAAAATTTTCTCTTGTGATTTTGGTTTTTACATATCAATCTGTGCATTTTATTATTCAATTTGTCTTAAAAATGACTCAAAACTTATGTACCTCTCCCATTTGCTGTTCAAAAATTTGATGGGCCAGTTCCTCTATGGTTGCCATGATCTTTAATCACCAGAATTTCCTGTCAAAGAAAGGAAAGAAGATGCTTAACATCTGTAGTTTTAAAAGTAAAAATATCCTGGGGAAAATATAGTTCACATAAGTCCGTTCACAGTTTTATTAAGATGACATCCCTGCAGAATTTAAAGTTGGATTATACTATAAAAATAAATAATTTGCTATTTGAAAACTTTGTATTGTTTTATTGAAGTAACTCACACAGAGACTTCCTATTTTTCCTCTTCTGCTTTTCCAACAAACAACAATATACTAAAATCACTGTGAGAACGAAAGTCTATTATTGACCATGACATCAGGAGGTACATATTCATCATCTTAAAAAACTGGAACACAGACAGTTTTGTTAATGCAAATCAAGAGGGGCAAATCTAACTTCTTCTGAACTCATACAGAATTTTTGGCACTAACAGGAGTGCTCGAAGGTCAATTTTGTAACTAACAGGAGGCAGTATGTGGGACATAGAAGATAAGTGTTTAAAAGAAAAAAGGATGTTGTTTCATTATCAATACTGTAGCTACAGCACAAGTCCAAATCTTCATAAGAATTTTGTGAGGTTTAACAGAGACTGCTGCATTCGTGCAGTATGAAGGATTCAGATGCATGCCTTGTTTATTTGGCAAGGTATATATTACTGATATACAAATATTTACCAGGCAGCACTTAAAAGGAACATTCACAGATTATAATGCACCATATAAACCATTTTACTGACAAAAGCAAATCAGAGACAGTGCAATACCTATTTCTTGCATTAACAAAGACAGTACTCTTACACTAATACTGGTTTTCATTCTTTAACTTTTCTGGAACTCCTAAGAATTATCTCCTCCTCAGGGAATCTCAAAGCCTCCCCAATGAGCCATGCAAATAAAAAATTTAACTCAAGCTAATTCTGTTCTTGAAATTGGAAAGAGAAATCTTTTTTGACTAGATGGTGTGCCTAATGATATACTAAAGCCTAATTAATGTGTGAAAGGAAAAATACAGAAATATTTGGGTACTGTAGACCATTCTAAATCACTCACTAGTATGCTGAGTTATGAGTTAAATTAGGACAAAAGGTAACAGGCACGTATATAAAGATATTATACTGAAGCTTATGCTGAAAAGCATTATCTCCTAGGAAGATCTGGGTGTCAGCATCCTTGCAGGAGCACTCTATTAGCCCACTTTGGCATCCAGTGAGCTGCAGCATAATCACTATTCAAAGAACACTTGGAATTTTCAAGGAGGCAATGTGTCATCCAATGTTTTCTTCCTTTAAATAAAATACTAGCAACAAAATATTGTATTGTTTACATATAGAATGCCAGAAATGAGTGCTACTTCATTACAAAGTAACAAAAAAAATCACTTTGAGGTATTAATTTGCACCAGCTAGTTAGTTCTCCTAAATCAGATGCAACTGCCCTCACAGTAAAGATGCATTAGTAAAACAACTTAGCTTGAAAACAGAAAGTGATTTAAACTGACATGTTTCACCTTGGAGTAAAGCAGTGAAGGAATACGGATGTATTCAACTATGATGCACCAGTTGTAGGGAAACTGGCTCTCGGAGAGGCCGCAACCAAGCACTGAATTTTTGAAACTTATCTAAGAGACTTATTTGAACTGCACTTCCATGAACATAGGACATCAAATATGCAAACAAGACTGAACTCTTATGATGAAGAGGAACCTGGAGAACAGGTTGAACCTGTCCTACCTCTTCATGCACAAGGACAAGGAGAATGAACAAGCACAAGGAGATTCAACTCATGGATGCAGAACCAGTTATCAAAGCTACACAAATCTTCTGAGTTTGATCATCAATCTCCTCATCCACTAGAAGCAGCATCTAAAAGCAGGCATTTTGACAGAAGGCGGGCATTAGACTTCCTCTTAAATGCATTGAAATGCATTTATTACTTTTTTGTTCAATCTTCAGACTCAAAATGCTACCAAAATCTTTTTGTCTGTAAGTTACATGTTAGCTTACATCCTTACAAAATGAGTTAGTGAGCCTTCTTGACAAGACTCAGAATTATTTTTAAATGCATCACCATCATCAGTTAGTATAAACTGGGTGGTGGTGAATCTGGCATCATCAAGTCCAGTGGTGTTCCACTGCTACTTTAGATAAGCCCTCTGTAGGCCACCACAGGAGTGGACAACTTTCATTAGCTTGCACTGAATAAAACCCCTCCTCTCTACTTCTTCCTCAGCTTTTATGTGCCAGAGCCTTCTTAATGTTTTAGTCAAAAAAATTATGAAATACTTACTTTTAAAAGTATTTCAGGTTTACTTCAGCTGAAATGGGTCAGGAAACATTCCCATGTGAGAAGACAGCAATTTTGAGGGTTCGGTTATACCCAGAAGACATCACTGCTTAACTTACCCTTCTCCAGGGACAAAAGTTATACAACTTTAATTGTCCTAGTAGGAGGTTCCTATTAATAGGATTTTTAAATATTATACCTGTGTAGACTAAGGACTTTAAAAGTAGTAGCAGGAAGTATATTTCTTTATGTTTCAATGCTCAATTAAATATAAATGACAACATCTCTCATTTTATTATATTACATTGTTGGTATAACTGTCCCACTATAAAGTGGCTTGATTCTGAAGTAATATCCTTTAAATGAGTAAGAACAAATCACATCAGCATGAAGACACAACATGAGAAAATTCTGTTAATTCCAAAGGTCTTCAGTTTACTTTGGAAAAAAGTGTCATACCCCTGACCAGCTTTACTGGTACAAAAACAGTGTTTGAAAAATTTTAGTAGTTTAACTTAGCCTGCTGGCACTGTTAAACCAGTTTGTATGTATGGAATGCATAATGATTCTTCTAATTACTATGTATGGAATGTGTCTCAATACAGGGAACTTTCCTAGATGAAATCAACCTGTTAAACTAATGAAGCTACACAAATATGTTGTAGATACTTTAGAGGTACAGGTACATTAACTAGTTATGACTGCAGAAATTACTTTGAACTTTACTTTTTTTCTTTTATCAGCTGGTTTTGACTGGGGGAAAGTTAATTTTACTCACAGCAGCTGGTATGGGACTGTGTTTTGGATATGTCATGAGCACAGGGCTGATAATAGAGAGATGCCTTGTTATTTCTGAGCAGTGCTTACACACAGCTCTTTCTGCTTTTTTATGCTGCCACACTGGTGAGGATGTTGGAGGTTCATGGGAAATGAGTGGCAGATACAGCCAGGACAGGCGACCAAAGGTATATTCTATACTACATGACATCATGCTCAGTATATAAAAATGGAAAGAGGAAGAAGGAGATGGAACAATGGCCTTTGTCTTCCCAAGTAACCATTACACATAGGGCCCTGCCATCACATCGGGTATTCAGCCAGCAGCCTGCCCTGGAGATGGCTGAACACATGCCTGCCAACTGTATACAGTGAATCATTCCTTGTTTCACTTTGCTTGTCTGCGTGACTTTTGCTTTCTCTATTGAACTGTCCTTATCTCAACCCACGAGTTTTCCAGCTTTTCCCTTCCAATTCTCTCCCCAGTCCCACCGTTGGGGGAGCAAGCAAGTGGCTGCCTGGGGTTAAAGCATGACACACAGTAAAGACAAATACAGGAAGGTCAACATGACTTTTTAGGAAAGCTCCAAAAGTTAGCATAACAGAAAACTAACTGCAAAAGAAGAGGAAACAATCTCTCTCTGCAGTCATACTGCTTCAGTACTGAATGATTTCAATACACCTCAAAGTCAACTAAGGATTTTAGCTCAGGTCATCACATTGGGCTTACAGGTACTCTGTACCTTAAAATGGAAACTAGTCCTCACTGCCATTATCAAACTAATCATATACTAATTAAGAATTCAGCATAGCCTGTGCCAAAGTTGTTTAATAAATTCCTACACATAAAATAGAATGCACTTAATGATCCCTCTATGCTTAAGCGTGCCTGAGTTAGTGCTTAAATAAGTTAAAGAACCCCCCAAGATTTCTTCATACATTAGAGTAGTTTTCTGCAATGCTTTATAGATAATAAATTAAGCCAAGGAATTCAAACACATTTGTGAAACAAATGATGCTACTGTGCTCAGTGCTTCATACAAGAAAAGCTCAATGAAGACAGCAAGCTAAATGAGCTGTTCTTGGATTACTGTTCTACAACCATATTGTTCAAGAGGGTAGAACAGTTGGCAGATTTAAAGGAGTAAGATTCTCTTTATCGATGAACTGAGGAATATTTATGTGACCCTTGATACTGAGTTAGATTCTGTTTTTTAAATTTGCATGAGATGAGATTTAGGCAGTGCATATATAAGGGACAAGTAACAACACGAAACTGAAGCAGCTGGACCTGTAGGCAAGCGAGGGAAAATGAGATGCTTGCAAAAGCATAAGGGAGTAATTAAAAGGCACAGAGCAATATGGAAAGAGATCCATTTGTAGGCATGCCTGTTCAATTAATTTAAAATCAGTGCTCTCACCACCTTCTCTTGTAAGCAAGTGCTACAGTGGGAGGAAACATGAGAAAACAGAATCACTAGGATAAATTTTCAGGTGACTGACAAATTTTTTACAGTTTGGGCCACCAAAGCGATAGTCTCACTTTTAGGCCTTGGCTTCTGGCTCTTTCATTATGGTATCTCTAGAACCCACCCCATCAGCTACTGGCGAGTTCACTTAGCTCACTAGTCCCACAACCAACTGGGAAAAGAAGGAAGAGGAGAGGCAAGGGGGCTGTCTGCAAGTGGAGCCTACTCACAGGAGCACTGGCTACATGCCAGAGCTAGATAAGAAGACAGCCACTTAATCAGGTCAGCCTGCCTTGTGTACTGTCAGCCATAGTCTGCATCTCTACCTGAAGCCTGCAAAAGAAAGAAATGAGAAAAAAAACCCAAACTGATTCCCTGCACCAGAGCTGAAGCTGCACCATGAAGCAGGACCAGGAAGCTCATCTGACTGAAGACTTCCCCATTCACTGGATTAGGTTCAGCCAGGTCCATTCTAGCTGGAACAGAAAGATCACCCTAACACAGAACAGCAAGGGCAAATCCTTCTTTCTGAACACTTGGAAGCAGTACATCCTCTATGGTACAATTACAGTATTTCCAGAGGTAGCCTCACTGCTGGCTTTGTCCACTCTGCATTTGCCTTCACGGCTGCATAGCTGTAAACTCATCTCCTGACTTTATTCATCCTGCACCTAACAATTGTTACACACAATACAGGAAAAGCAAGCAGAAGCAGAATCAAGACACTTCATTTTGGAGAAAAACCCACAATGTCACATAAGCTTATCTATAACGGCAAATTGCCCATTCAGGTGTTATGCAAGGTGATCATTTGGAGTATTCACTGAACTACAGCCACACTTACAAACTTACACACTGGCATATCCGTGGAAGCTTCCTTCAGGTAAAAAGGAAAAACTAAACAAAAAACTCAAAGACACAAAACCTCCATACAACAAAACTGAATTTCTCATACATCCTTCCACTAAATCACTGTTGACATTGGCCCATGTAAAATATTCTGGGGGATGAACTGATCAAGAGCAGCCCTGCTGACGACTTGAGGCTTCTCCTGGATGAAAGGCTGGACCCAGCCATGTGCACTCACAGCCCAGAAAACCAAACGTGTCCTGGGCTGCATCCAAAGCAGAGTGGCCAGCAGGGGAGGGAGGGGATTCTGCCCCTCTGCTCTGCTCCTGTGAGACCCCACCTGCAGGGCTGCATCCAGCTCTGTTGTCCCAGCACAGGAAGGACATGGACCTGTTGGAGAGAGTCCAGAGGAGGCCACCAAGATGATCAGAGGAAGGGAGCACCTCTCCTGCGAGGAAAGGCTGAGAGAATTGGGATTGTTCACCCTGGAGAAGGCTTAGGATGACCTAACTGCAGCCTTCCAGTACCTGAAGGGAGCCTACAAGCAAGATGGAGAGTGACTTTTTACAAGGGTATGTAGTGACAGGACAATGACTTCAAATCGGAAGAGAGCAGGCTTAGTTTAGGTATTAAATTCTTTACTGTGAGGGCAGTGAGGCCTTAGAACAGGTTGCACAGAGAATCCAGGATTCATCCCTGGAAACATTCAAGGCCAGGTTTGATGGGGCTCGGAGCAAACTAATGTACAGCACAGCATCCCTGCCCATGGCAGGGTGGTTGGAACTACATGATCTTTATGTTCCCTTCCAATCCAAGTAATTTTGTGATTCCCTGTTTTATTTCCTTTGTTATCAACTACACAAGATTAGATTTTGGGTGTGGATGTGTGTTTGTGAATTTTTTTGTTGGGTTTGGGATTATTAAAATTCCTATAAACATGTAGGCACACATATTGAGAAAGCAAGAAAATTACAGCCTGAGAAATATTCCAGGCCAGAGCTTCCCAGCTCTGTTCCCAGCCGATAAGCTGGTCCAGCTGAAAGCTAGGGAGAATTTCTCCCAGGGTGATATCTTGGTCAAAATAAAAATTAATTAATAACAAAGATAGAACACCTGTTGTGGTGTGTGACCAGGCCCTGGGAATGGGGTGTCTTCTCTCTGAACCAATCATCTTTCTTCTGCTCTTGGAGTTACGAGTCATGCTATAAAACCAAGTGTGTTTCTGAATAAACTTGTCTCTTTATTTC